AAGAAGAAACCCTATGCTGTAATGGCCACAGGCCAGTTCTGGAACAAAAATTTTTTTGATATAAAAACAAGTATGTACTTAACGCCGGCCTAGGTCAGGAGATAGCTTTAGTCCAACATCTAGAGAGGAATAATTGTTGAGGCAGGAGATTGGGGTTCCCAACAATGCGCTATTATTTTCTATGTGACCATAGGCGAGACACTCAGGTCCTATCTACAGTGCCTATATTATGGTAATTTCCATGGATAAGAGTCAACTGCAAGTTAATGTTTAATGATTGTATGTGGTATGTGTAGTAGTTCTTAAAATACATGATCCACATTCAGTTAAAGCAGCCTTCTTGTCTGATATAATATAAATGACACTGTTTGTTAAAACAGGATTTAACAAAATAAAAATCAGGCATTTACTTTTTTTTTTTTTGGTCTCATAACTACAGAAATGAGGATTGAAAAGAGGTAATATGGCCTAGTATATTTACATTGATATTAACCTGATGCCATGGGGAATATGAATAAAAATAAATTATTGTAAAACCATTTGCTGTGTAACCGATATGACATGATTTTGAGTCTTCATCCTGTAATTAACTAGTATAGAGAATAAAAAAAGCTTAACAGCTGCCAATCCATCCCTATTCCTTGTTAAGTGAGAGCAATTATAATCATTACAGAATTTCAGATCAAGTAAATTTAATTACCTATGTTCCAGTTAGCAAGGCTGCATTCCTTCAGAGTTCACAAGTCATTGATACTGTCGGTAAATCTATTAGAAGAGTAATACCATGCTTGTTATAACAAACATTTGACTCAAGAAGGATATGATTTATAATTTTACATGGTGTTAGGCTTTTCAGTGTCTTCTCCAACTTATCATCCATTTTGTTGTCTTAAGTAGTTATATTAATCATTGGTACCTTTACAGAGAGGCATTGACTGGACTAATAACATAAGAAGAAGCTATTTTTGAGATGCCACACAACAAGAGAAGAACTTCTGGTTGGGTTTGAAATTAATTGAGACTGCTGCATGACTCCACTAAATAGACCCCTGAGTGCTCAACTTTCCAGATCTTAAAAATGTATGAACTTGTTTCCAATTTTGAACTACTAATCCAAGTGTTGTAAGAATAACATATTTCTCTTGTTTAGTCCTTTATATGAGACAGCTTTCCTATGACTTCACTTGGGAATTTTCTGCCCATATACACAATAGTCTGGAATCGGATTTTATTCAAACCACCTTTACATATGTGTAACCCTTTGAGAGTATAAGCAAACATGTGGAGACGGATGATCAAGTAGATATAGCGTACTTGGACTTTCAGAAAGCCTTTGAAAAGGTCCCTCAGCAATGTCTCTTAAGCAAAGTAAGGAGTCATGGAATAAAAGGGAAGGTCCTCTCATGGATCGGTAACTGGTTAAAAGATAGGAAACAAAGGGTAGGAATAAATTGTCAGTTTGCATAGTGGAGAGAGATAAATAACAGAGTCCCGCAAGGATCTGCATTAGGCTCAGTGCTGTTCAACATATTCATAAGTGATCTGGAAAAAGGGGGAAACAGTGAGGTGGCAAAGTTTGCAGATGATACAAAATTACTCAAGATAGTTAAATCCAAGGCAGACTGCAAATAGTGACAAAGGGATCTCACAAAACCAGGTGACTGAGCAAGAAAATGGCAGACAAAATTCAGTATTGAGAAATGTAAAATAATGCACTTTGGAAAACAATCCCAACTATACATACAAAATGATGGGGTCTAAATTAGACATCCTGGACTCATCATAGAATCATAGGACTGGAAGGTACCATGAGAGGTCATCTAGTCCAGTCCCCTACGTGGATAGTTCTCTGAAAACATCTGCTCAATGTACAACACCAGTCAAAAAAGCTAATAATGTTAGGAATCATTAGGAAAGGGATAGATAATGAGACAGAAAATACAATGTCATTATATAAATACATGGTAAACACACACCTTGAATACTGTATGCAGTTCTGGACACCACATCTCAAAAAATCCAGATATATTATAATGGGAAAAGGTACAGAGAAAGGCAACAATAATTGTTAGGGGTATGGAACATCCATTGAGAAGAGATTAAAAAGACTGGGATTGTTCATCTGGAAAAGAGACAACTGAAGGGCTACAATAGAGATCTATAAAATCATAAATGGTGTGGAGAAAATGAATAGGGAAGTATTTACCTCTTCACATAACACACGAACCAGAGGTCACACAAAGAAATGAATAGACAGCAGATTTTAAACAAATATAAGGACATACTTCATACAACACACAATCAACCTGTGGAACGCACTGCCTGGGGATGTTGTGAAGGCCAGAAGTATAACTGGGTTCAAAAAAGGATTAGATAAAGATAAGTGCATCAATTAGTCAAGATGGTCAGGAATGCCACCCCATGCCCCCAGTGTCCCTAAACCTCTGACTGTTAGAAGCTGGGATTGGACGACAAGAGATGGATCACTCAATAAATTGTCCTGTTCTGTTCACTCCCTCTGAAGCTTCTGGCACCAGCCGCTATTGGAATACAGGATACTGGGCTAGATGGACCATTGGTCTGAACCAATATGGCCATTCTTATGTTCTAACTCAAATGGAGTTGTTCCTGATTTATATAGGTGTGAGAATCAAGCCCTATTTTTTAAAAAACTTTTCCATATTCCTGTACATGCAAGGAACTCTATGAACTGTAATATCTTAGTTCATGCTATTGTGGTTGGGAAGAGTTTACTCTGTATCAATTCTCATTTCAAACAGTAGGCTGGAACAAATTTAAATGGGCCATTCAGATCAACTTCATTAGGTACACTATCCAAGGGCAACTCTCAACTTGGGTATTTTCAGTAGGCTAAGACCAGATGGCAAAACAGACAGTTTTTGTTAATTTCATTAAAAGTATGTTGCAACTTAAAATGTGAAATTAATATACCCTAATGAAAGAGACACTTTCAAATTATTGTTGTGGATGCCTTAATCTACTTTTCTTCTGCGTGTACACATCCTGGTTTGAGATGTTGCATGAGCTGCGTGACCTGAATGTTGGATGAGCTGGTTACTGGTGATTTGCTGGAGTCTGAAGATTTTGTTTATTTTCCCCTCACAGTAGGGAGTCCTTAGCAGCAAATGTAAACTAGTATATCACCGCACCCCGACAGTTTTCACTCATTTGAGATTCTTTGCGATGTAGATACTGAACAGACTCATTGTGCTAAAAATACTAACCTGGCAATTATGCAAATGAAGCATGCACACATGGAGACACGGAACACTTCTCGCTATAACAGTAAAAGTATCACCACCTTTTTTAAAAATGAAACTGAACACCACACCTTGGCTTCCAAAAGAAGAAGAAAAACTTTATCAAGAAACAAAACCTATTTCTGAATCTATGAAGTTGACCATGACAATGAGATCTGATCATTCATTTGTCCCTAATTTGAAAAAAGCGTATATTAAACAAAACTATTAATATGAATTAGTGTATTTTAGAGTAGTTTGATTTGACAGCCATGGAAAATAAAGTCAGTATGACATAAGAATGGCCATACTGAGTCAGACCAATGGTCCATCTAGTCCAGTATCCTCTCTTCCTCCAGATGCTTCAGAGGAAGTGAACAGATCAGGGCAATTTATCAAGTGATCCATCCCCTTTCATCCAGTCCCATCTTCTAGTAGTCAGAGGTTTAGGAAACCCAGAGCATGGGCCTACGTCCCTGACCATCTTGGCTAACAGCCATTGATGGATCTAGCCTCCATTAATTTATCTAATTATTTTTTGAACCCAGTATGATGCATGACCAGAAAGGGTTAAGCATCCTGACTCAAATTCAGGATGCTTGGTAGAGGTCAACAATGTAATCAAACTGTCCCTGTCTATGCTGTATTCTGTTAATTCAGAGATCAAAAGAACATCTTAGCATTTAAATGAACTGTAAACATGGGATATCACTGTATTCATTTCTCTTTGAAATATATAGCAAATCATCTGCGAATGGTGGAAAAACAGGCAATTGCCTTGTGTTAATCTGTGTGAATAATTACCGGGCGATGCTTAGGAAGTAAGCCTACTTCAAAGTCTCCCTGATTGCTTATTGTTTACCCAGAACTGTATGGTCAAGTGAATGCTAAAACATTGTATAAAAGACCCTTGGGTCCTGATCCTGTCATCTCAGATCTGCTTAAGCTTCATCAGGGAAAGTTTGAGTCTCAAGACTGAGATCCCAGTTAAGCTGGAACACTCTAAATATGATATTGGACATTGGCCTATAACCTATGGACTAAATTCTAAAAGAACCCTTTGCAACTACAAAGCTCACCATCTCTGCTATGAATCTGAACCTCAAGAATTGAACTCATGTCTGTATGTATATTGATCTTTTAACCATACTCTATCTCTTGTCTTTTTTTTAAATAAATTTTAGTTTAATTAATAAGAATTGGCTGTAAGCATGTATTTGGGTAAGGTCTGAAAGATTCATTAACCTGGGAGGTAATGAGTCTGATCCTTTGGGATTGGTAGAACCTTTTCGTTGATAAGATTTTCATTAATCCTCATCATATTTGACTTGGGTGACTAGGTGGAAGCCTGAGGCTGGATTACTTTAAGGGAACTGTATTGTGGACTTCTGAGTAACCAGTGAGGTATAACAGAACCTTTTTGTGCTGGCTTGGTAAATCTAAGTACTGGTATATCCACCAGTTTTGGGGATTGCCTGCCCCAGACTTTGCAGTTCACCCTAATTGAGTGACCTCAGCTGGCTACTCTGGGAATCTGGTCACACCCAGTTATTCTTTCAATGGCCCTTAAAAGGTACTGACTGCTGGCTGTCCAAGGTGATTATGGTGCTGTGGACTGCTGCCCAGTAGAGGCTGAATGATACTACACTTGTATCAAATAGGGATCAATTTGTCACCAGATGGTAACAACTTTTAGTCATTAGCAACGGTGCTGGATTTGAATTAATGACCAAGCATTTTAAGCAAGTATGCTGTGTGTGATTCCTACCTTTGTTTGGTTTATTAGCTTTCAGCATACTACAGGAAGTCATACAATAGGTCAAATTAGGCGAGGTAAGGTTTCAGCTTGGACAAGTTCATTATTTTGTTTTTTGAGTTCTAGGACTTCTTCTGCAGCCAAAGCCATGTGAATGAGGTTAGCAGACGTGAATACAGCTCACCAGATGAAAGACTGGACAAACTAGGTCCTTAACTGGAAAAAAAGTTATTTAAAATATAATTAGTATGAATTAAGAGAAGATGCACTTTCATTCCACTATGCTTCTGCCTATGGAAAGAAAGAGATTAGGTAGATAGATACAATCATAATCATAAACATAATAAGCTGGTGTGTAGTATTTTGTCCCAGCTAAATACAAAAGTCTGTGTAATTATTTGCTACATAAGGCAGAATACTACAAAAAAGTTTTTGAACATTTGTTTGAATGAAAACCAACAACTTGTTTCAGTAATATTCCTTTTTTGTTTTCTCTGAACATTCATATGTGCAATTGGCTTCGTTCACAAAGTTGTATAAATGTAAGCAAAATTTAAAAATCTCAAACATTAATGGAAATATGTATTTGTGTGAAGATTCATGCTGTCTAAAACCTATAGAAAAAGCAGCTAAGGCCTGGTCCACACTAACCCCCCACGTCGAACTAAGGTACGAAGTACCTTAGTTCGAACTTACCGTGGGTCCAGACGCAGCAGGAAGGCTCCCCCGTCGATGCCGCGTACTCCTCTCGCCGAGCTGGAGTACCGGCATCGACGGCGAGCACTTCCGGGATCGATCCGGGATCGATTTATCGTGTCTAGACAAGCCACGATAAATCGATCCCAGAAGATCGATTGCTTACCGCCGGACCCGGAGGTAAGAGTAGACCTACCCTGAGAAATCAGAAAGCCTGACATTTCAAGAGAAAACTACTGGAATCCTTGACTTAACTATAGAAAGAGGTTGGGGTTCTTTGCTTATTTTTTAGGTAAAAAGGCATGAATGAAACAGATCTGTGATGAAGTGGTACAAAAACGGTGGACTCTTCTTCGCCACCATGGAAAAAGTTAATGGCTTCCTGAAAGCAAATCCTGAGCTAGAGGGACCTGCAGTCTCATAGTCCCTGTCGAGATGACAGAAAACAGCAAGGCCAGGCTTTTTCGTCCCATTGCATTTTAATGCTCTGCCTCAAAAATTCCACGAGATATGGCCCGATACTTCAATTTTTTGCTATCCATTTTGTTCTGAGCTTTATCCTCTTAGCTGAACATCAAATCATCCCAGTCAATCCAATCTGGCTACGCCTTATAAGTCTAAAATCATGTCAGAATACCTTGACAGTCTGGATGACAGACCACAGTTCAGGAGAGTTAGAGATATTCTTTATGTATTGTGCATAAATACAAGTTAGCAAATGCTAACATTTATTCTGACTCTTTGCACCTGACCATCAGGTCAGCAATAGCCTGCAGTCTCCCATTAAAGCTGCAGAAAACTCCTTGCTAGCCTGTAAAACACAAACTTTTCCACAAATTAGGGGCTGGAGACCAGGGTAAACCTCACTCTTATACTATTGGCCAAGAAGCTGTATCATATATTGTCCTTCACATCTAGCCTATAAGAGAGTCTCTTTCTATTCACCACTGCCCTAAAAGCCAGATACTCCACTAGAAGATCACCTTCACTAGATCACATGCTCTATTCAAAAGCCAGAGATCAGATTTTCATTGTCCACCCTGAATATACTGACCAGATGCACTCTGATACTGTCCATTTGCTTATTGAGATAATAGAATACCTTATGGCTAGAAAGGTAGATGACAGCATGCTCTAATGCAGGGGTGGGTAAACTTTTTGGCCTGAGGACCATATCTGGGTTGGAAAATTGTATGCAGGGCCATGAATGTAGGGCTGGGGGTTGGGGTGTGGGAGGGAGTGCAGTGTGCAGGAAAGGGCTCAGGGCAAGGAGGTTGGGGTGCAGGGTGTAGGAGGGCTTAGGGGTGCAGGCTCTGGCCTAGCGCCGCTTACCTTGAGCAGCTGCAGGGTGGTAGTGGCGCGCAGCAGGGCTAAGGCAAGTGCCCTGCCTGCCCGGGCCCATGCTGCTCCCGGAAGCAACCAGTATGTCTGGCAGTGGCTCGTGGGGGTGGAGTGGGGCAGGTGGCCCCACTGCACTCTGCCCTCGCCTGTGGGTACCACCCTCAAAGCTCCCATTGGCCGCAGTTCCTCATTCCTGGCCAATGGGAGCTGCGAGGGGCGGTGCCTGCAGGTGAGGGCAGCACACAGATCCCACTGCCTCCACTCCCCCCCTTTCCCTAGGGCCACAGGGACATGGTACCGGTGGCTTCCGGGAGCGGCACAGGGCCAGGGTAGACAGGGAGCCTGCCTTAGCCCCACTGCACCACAGGGTTGGCAATCCAGCGGGCTGGATTGAAAGCCCTGGGCCGGATCCGTCCCGCGGGCCGTAGTTTGCCCTCCCCTGCTCTAATGCCTAGAGCACTGGCCTGACACAAAGAAGAGGAGATTCTATTTCACTTCACCTCTCCATGCCTCCATTGTCTGGCTATGCCAGAAGGAAGACAGGAGACAATGGGACATGGTTTTAATAGGCCGCACCTTTATTCCTAAATGTCTGGGAGTACGCCGTAGATAAAGTACATTGCAGGTAATTTCATAATCATTTACATATAGCCAGGTGGGGCTGCTGTCTGCCTTCCCTGTTTACCCATCCTGGTCTCCCAGCCAACCTGCTGCTGGGACCTCACCCCGCACCTTGAATGAGCATTAAGGGGAGCTATAAAGGAGAAGGGGGTTGATTCCCTGCTGTACTAGCTATAGAAGCCTTGAAGCCCTTCCCTCCTCTGTCCCCCGGCTTCCACTCCTTTAAAGAATACCTCCTTTGAATCCTTTACCAATCCATTTTATCTGATCACCGTATTTCTTCCCTACAGAGTATCTGGCCATCCACCCCACCTTGCCTTGGCCAATCTGGTAGCAAGGGAAAAATTCCTTCCCAGACCTCCTAGAAAGGAGCGACTAGCGTAATGTCCACAGTGGAGCATGACAAAACCTGCTATTTAACTATCTCCATGGGTAGGAGTGTTGCTACTGCTCTGCCTGGGCCAGGTAAAAGAGACTTATTCTGCACTGTCATGGACCTAAATAGTTCCCCCTTTTTTTCTGGTCACCGGGCGTGGGGGGAAGAAGGGTCAGCATCCCCAAGCTGACCAGGTATGAAGCTGCCACAGCAAGTCATTTTCTGTCTCTTAACAGGGCACACACATATTTTCTGACAAGCCAGACAATGCGCCTCATCCCCACCCCATTCCCCACTTAATGGGTGGTGAGGTCATTCTCCCACCCTTTGTTTGTCTATTTAAATTGAAAGCTCTTAGGGGCAGGGATCGTTTCTTACCAGGTGTTTGTAGCGTGCCTAGGATAATGAGGGTCTTTAAGTACTACTGGAAACATTAATAAGCAGGTACAGATTCTGTCATCCTGTGATAGTTCATATGTACAACAGGGAAGATTTACATTCCTTTCACATGGCTAGCACTGTCATGTAATTTTAAGTGGAAAAGTGAAGGTAAGCAGTCAGCATTAAGATTGATATGGGAATCAACTATTTCCAGGATGTTACTTAGGTTTAGTTTTTAAACTAGTGGTAAAAACAGTCCAACGGCTTGACTTCCGCAACAATGTAGTGGCAAAGTAATCAGTTATTTATATTTGTTTCATTCTTTTGATTTAGATGAGATTGAATCAGCATGACTCTGGTTGCAGAAACCCTGAAACCTGTGTCAGAATTTCATTTTAAATAACCCCGAAAATAACATTTTTGATTATGGCATGCACAATCCTCAAGTGAGAATGGTTTAGTTATGGGGTGGAAATAAAATCTTACCTTCGCATTGTATTATGGCCCTGGATCAACAGTTGCAAGGCACTGTTATGTGAGCTGTAGAGATAGTTCAGAGTACATTTACTGCTGTTGAACATTGTGTCCCTTAATACTGTGTAAACAACTGAAGTCCACATCCTGCTTTAAAAACCATTTGAATACATCAGATACAGTCCACACCAGCACCTTTCCTGGGGTTTGGTTTTTATTCGTAAGTCATACAGCAACAATATCAACAACAAAAATCGTAAACGTTACCTAAACCTTCTGGCAAAGCTTGGCCATTCCTAGGATTTCTCTGCAGGACTCCTCTGATTCAGCCTCCAATTCCCCATGTCCAAAGAAACAGCCTACTCTTAATTATAGATTTTGTTAGCTCCAGTCAAGCTAAATACCAATGTGAGTTAATAGTAATTATTCTGTATCTTTATGCAGAGTTTGAGCAGCTAAGATTAGGGAGGCCCAGTGGAGGAGCTCTGCAAACTCTTATCAATTACCTCTCTAATATAATGAGGAGTCCTTGTGGCACCTTAGAGACTAACAAATTTATTTGGGCATAAACTTTCATGGGCTAGAACCCACTTCATTGGATGCATGAAGTGAAAAATACAGGAGCAAGTATAAATACATGAAAGGATGGGGGTTGCTTTACCAAGCGTGAGGTCAGTCTAATGAGATAAATCAATTAACAGCAGGATACCAAGAGAGGAAAAATAACTTTTGAAGTAGTAAGAGAGTGGTCCATTACCGACAGTTGACAAGAAGGTGTGAGTAACAGTAGGGAGAAATTAGCATTGGGGAAATTAAGTTTAGGTTTTGTAATGACCCAACCACACCCCGTCTTTATTCAGGCCTAATCTGATGGTATCCAGTTTGCAAATTAATTCCAGTTCTGCAGCTTCAAGTTGGAGTCTGTTTTTGAAGTTTTTGTTGTTGAAGAATTGCCACTTTGAGGTCTGTTATTGAGTGACCAGAGAGACTGAAGTGTTCTCCTACTGGTTTTTGAATGTTATGATTCCTGATGTCAGATTTGTGTCCATTAATTTGCAAACCCATCTTTTGCAAGACATGTGAAAGCCGAGATTAGATTGAAGTCTCATGAGAAGTTGTACACATGGTGTGCTTTGCTTTTATTGCTGGACTAGTCAGGAGGAAAAGTGCAAAAACCTTTATTTAAACTAAGTGTCTTTCCTAACTGATGCTAATAACTTTGTTATATTAAAACAAGTGACATCTAGGCCTGACATTTGAGTGTTTTCCTTCTGTGAAAGCCCCTTTTTAAATGGATAAATACCTATTTTAAAATGTAACATTTAACCAGATTATTGGATATTTGCATATAAACCCTTGTCCTTTGGTCTGAACATGTTTTATGTCAAGTTCCAGACTCAAGTGAATGACTGCTTAGTTTTAAGTACTGTGGTCTTTAAAAAACACAGGAAACATTGATAATGAAAATGCAAGTAGTCTTATCTGTAAAAAGGCTAGCAGGCAGTGCTGCTATAGTTTGTATGATGGATCTTTTTCCTCACTGACAAAGTGATTTGAGATTTATGCAGATTTGTTACAAACCCAATGGGTGTCAACATTGATGTTTCATGCACAAAACAAACTAATGTAAAAATGGAGGTTTTAGTCACATTATTCATTTCCAATCAAAACCTGTTTGGATTAGAGTGCAAATATTGTAAGATAATGCAGTGAACACTTAGTTAGTATATAGTTTACAGAGGCTATGCTAAAAATATGTATTTTGCTTTTGTTTTAACGAACTCTTTCAAATATGGCAAACACACCTGTCACCTATAAAAACATTCATACCTAGAATGGGAAGGAAGGATCGGTGTTACACCCTAGAAAACTTACTGTAGGGGGAAAAGTTCCTGCCCTGACTGGAGCTGGACTAAATTTCACCTTTAATATCCTTGTTATTGGTCTCATTCTGCTATAGAAGTCAATTTTCTTTTGATGATATTGAAAAAGCTACTACAATAGCAGATTGCAGATTACTATCTCACCTGCAAGGGAGTATCAACTTCAGCTAGAGTTTGATATGAATGAGGACTGTGCAGCATTCAAATTATTTTTCCCACAGTGTGCTTTGCCGATAACAATTGTGAAATAATTTCCTTCTTACCAGCCTTTCCTCTTCTCTTTGCCTGTCTACTGCAGATTCTCAGAGTGTGTTTTTGTGGCATCTAGTAAAATGGGTTATCTATAAACAGGAATGATTATCTACCTCACAGGCTTGTTGCAAGGCTTAAATCATGCTTCTAAATAAGTTGAAATTGTTAGATGAAATTTACTTTGTAACTTTTCTGCAAAAGAAACTAGTTGTTTAAGAACACAATTTAAATGAATGTGAATGAATAAAGCATGGAGGTTTTGTCCAGAGATCTTTACCACCACCCTTTCGCCCCAAAATTATACTCTATGACAGGTGCTGGTGGAGGATGGGTGAAAATAGTTTCATGGTCCTGCTGAACTTCAAACCAAATAGCTAAGTTCAATGTACAGGGCAGATGGTTGGGCAATTTGCTGCTCTCATACGTAATGGAGCATTGAGGGTGAGATCTTGTGCTGGTGTAAATTAGCATTTAGATCTGTTGAAAATCTGGTCTGAAATATTCAAATGTGTCAAATAGGCAACAAAGGCAGAGATCTCCGCATAATATTGTTCAAATGTACTTCATATTCAATACGTTTCAATTTTCATGCTGAGTTATTCAGTTTACAGGATTGTACATTGTACTGTGATTTACAGTACTGTGTACTGAGAAATGCAGAAGTCATGAAGCTGTGGGAACGTGCATATTAAACGCAAAACACTGAACAGATTTTTGAACTTTACGTACTGCATCTTTTATTATCAGGCAGTTATGAAACAAATTAAAAAAATACACAAACTATATCAAATGACAAAATAAAACAAACTTTGGGCCATACCTTGACATGCTTACTTATTGGAGTGTCACCCAAGGAATAATACAATAAGGATTTAACTCGTCTTGCATAACAACTCTTAAAGCCCCAGTGCTTTATGGGTCCACAACTATCAACAGCTAGATGCCATATCCCAAATCAGGCCATTTCGTTCCTAACATGAACCATATTTTTATGTACAGTACTTCATCATCCCGTGGAGTGCATTGAAGTGAAGTCTGGCTTGAGATTTGGACTTCTCTAGCCCAAGTCAGGTATCAGATAATACCTGGGCTCCAAAAGCAAGCAAGGTTCACCATTTTTCAGTTATTCAACAAATACCAACACACACATACGATAATTTATTATAAAACTATTGAGCCCATCCTGGGATGCACCAACTCCCCCCTCCCCCCCACCAGTTCAACCAAGAATTGAAAGTGGCTCAGCCACTTACTGTAAAAGGTGAATGGTCTCCAGCCACACAGAAACAGTGTGAAACAAGAACAAAGAAAGGGCCATGGGTGAATGTTGAGTGTGGGGTCTAGTGCTGCTACACATGTCACAGGTGCCTAAGGTCAACCCTCTGTCAGTATGTCAGTCTGCCAGGCCAGCTGAAAGGATAGTCTCTGTCCTCACCCAACTTGTCTTTAATTTCTTGGGACCGACACAGCTACAATACCACTGCATATAGTCTCTGCCCTCTGACAGACACCATCAGGACATTAGATTTCCATTAAGTTAAAACTAGTGACCAGATGTCCCATTTTTAAAGGGACAGTTCCGTTTTTGGGGACTTTTTCTTATATAGGCGCCTATTACCCTCCACCCCTTGTCCCATTTTTTCACAGTTGCTATCTGATAACCCTAGTTAAAACAGATAAGTGCATAAATATTATATTCTTCTATCATATAGCAATACTTAGTCCAGTCCTGTGACTCTTGTTAATATAACCAGCTATTGAAGCCAGTGAGAGTTTTGCCTGAATAAAGATAGTAAGATCAGGTCTATTATGCAGTTGCTTAGTAATGGCATCATTGTGTATGTACTAACCAAGCCTAAATGAAGCTAGCTACATAAGCCTCGATATTCAGCAGTAAAAGCTGTCCCATAAACCAGGGTCCTTTATTTCTCAGTGTGTTCCCGTGTCAGAGTACTTTGTCGTCACCTCATTTGCTGTGGGTGTAAACCTTTTTAAGAGTTGTCTTACTTTAGTCATCAGCATCTCCCTGAAGTGATCACCCATTAAGAAATAAAAGATAGGGTTAATTACACTATTTAAAAATGCAATAGGCCTTGTGATAATATAAATGGTGTTGATGATGTTCCGTGTGCACAGGGATAGCTTCCAGGATTCCATTCGGGAGGCAATCCTCACATTGCGCATGATGTGATATGGGGTAAAGAACAGTGAAAAGATAACCAGTGCCATGATGACTAAAGTAAGAGGTTTCTCAAGAGCCTGAGCAGCTGTGAGCTGCTCACTACGTTTCTTAAGAAAGAGAACCATCTTCACGTAAAAGAAGCACATAACACACAGAGGGATTACAAACCCCAGAAGAGTCAGGCATATGCTATAGATCAGGTTTTTTGCTGGATCTCCAGAACTTGCATAATCGGTACATTGGTTAGCATTGGCAGTATTTCTAGATCCTATGAAGGTGATTATTGGCAACAGTTCAAGTATAACAAGGATCCATATGGCAACAGAGAAAACAACAGCTATCTTCCTCTTCTGTAGAAAATGGTCTCTGAAAGGATATTGCATGAGCATATAACGATCAATGCTGATAAAGGTAAGGAAAAGGATGCTTGTGTATAGGTTTACATGCAGCATGAATCTGTTGCTTTGGCACAAAATGTTCCCATATGTCCACTTTCCTTTGGAGTAGCTTGTCACCAACATTGGAAGTGTGCACAGAAATACAAAGTCTGATAGTGATAAGTTAAACAAGTAAATATTGCCACTTTTCCAAACTTTCAGGCAGAATATGTAGCCAAACACAACAATGCTGTTTCCAATAATGCCAAAAATGAACTCAATGGTATACATGGTAGAAAGGTAATACTTTTGCAGGGTGTTATCCATCTCCAGGCAGTCACCTGTCTTATTTGCATCCTGGGAAGTTAAAAAAGGAAAATTAATAGTAAGAATACAATGACAATTTAAGTGCTATTCTATTTTTTGGTATCACAACTCAGATATTTCCAGCTCTGCAAAAAATGTGTCTTATAAACACTTAAACTTTCTGTTTCAAGGTCTTGGTATCAAAGAGATGTAAAAACACAATGATAAAAACATACGGATGAAATCCAGTAAGAATTCTGCCTCAGTAAGAAATTGAATGAGGACTTTGGGATTTTGTATGACAACATTTATTTTCCTGAGAGTCTCCCATAAAACAGAGCACAAAGGTGATTTTTATTCTTAGCGTCCATTATGCTACGAGTGTAAACTGAAAGCATTGTGTTATACTTACCCAGCACTGGGCTGGAGGGAGTGTGATCGGAGGGGAAGAGAAAAAATACAAACAAGCAAAATCTATCTCATAACAGCATTTTTCGGAAATCCTCTGCTTTGTGCCTGTGGAGTTTTACTCCCACATCTTACTCACTGCTTACTAAGGCAGAAATCCCATCATTTCCAACGGGACCTTTGCCCAAGTAAGGAATGAAGTAGTAGTACAGGATTGAGCCATTGGTATGACTATGCTCTGAAGAAGTTTCTATTAGTCATGGTGGTTTTAAAAAAAAAAGGAAACAAACTTGTTTGTTAACCAATAGGAATATTTGCTATTTATGTATTCACAATAATAAACTAATAATAATCTTGTTTATCAGAATTACATGGAAACAGTCTTATAGAAGAGATAATGTAGCTACAGCATGTACTGCAGTTTACATTTGTGTCTCAGGAATTCTGAGGCAATATTGAAGAAACGGAGATCTCAGTATTTGCAGTTTAATAGACCATAATATTATTTGTCTATTTTTCACAATAAAAGCCAATGCTCAACAGATTAAATCCAAAATTCACAAATGTCGGCAGACTCAGGGCCAGCTCCAAATCCCACTGAAGTCAAGGAAAAGACATTAGCTAAATTCAAGTTCAGAATAACATTAGTGAAATGTCAGTGGTGTCAGGACCGGCTCCAGGGTTTTGGCCACCCCAAGCAGCCAAAAAAAAAAAAACACCGCGATCATGATCGCGATCTGTGGCGGCAATTCAGTGGAAGGTCCTTCACTCGGAGCTGGAGTGAGGGACCGTCCGCCAAATTGCCACCGAATAGCTGGACGTGCCGCCCCTGTCCGGAGTGGCCATCCCAAGCACCTGCTTGACAAGCTGGTGCCTGGAGCCGGCCCTGAGTGGTGTAATCTGTAAACTTTCATCAATTCACAATTTTTGTAGCGAACATTTTACAAGTAAACCCCAGAGATCTATTCAGCTCTCTGTATGGTGTATTATTATAATTATAATTAATTATTTGACAGAGTGCCCAGGGTCCCATTCTGTCGAGTGCAGTGAAGTTGAGAGACAGTCCCTGTCCTGAAGAACTTTCAGCGTAGTATATTTTCTGTATTTTAGCTAACATGTAACTATTCGATTGCTGCATGCTAAGGGAAATGCTTTATTAAGGGAATATAAGCACACACTTTTCAAAGCTGTAAAAATACATTGTTCAGCACCCCTTTCTAGTGTAGGCCTATCTATAAATAATTACATTTACAATTTTGATTCCCTGATAATATAAATAACTCTAATAAGGCAAATTACCCAGGATAATTGAGAATAACATCCACAGTTTATTGCACCTTCTCTTTGGTTATTTAAAACAACTGTTTTATTATTCTCCTTTTTGATTTCAGAATAAAATATATCATGATGGGCTAAAGAGCCCTTGTCAAAATTCCAGAGAGGACTGGGATACTTTGTCTCTGAAGCAGTTCACCCACCTCTCCCCAACAATATGCAAATTATCACTTGGGCTCAAAAACATTGCTTTGCCTTTAAATGCAGTAGATTGCACCCGGTATCAACAAATCTGGGGGAAGGATGCTTCAATTTTCCCCAAATGACACAGGTTGATTATTGTGCTGTATCTTCAATGTACTCAATATATTTTTCAGGAACAAGTATAAACATTTCTACTAGAGTGTACTTAGTGAAAGTTTGTTTGCCAAGCTGTTTTGCTTTCTTAATAGGTTACAGTTATGAGAAATTCTTGCTATTTATATGGGGAAGTACCGTAATAGATTGTCTAGTTCTTCAC